AGAGAGATAATCGAAGAACAAGTAGTTTCCATGACATTTACACTGATTATACCTTTAATTACGTTACGGTGATATTTATTCAAATAATTTATATTATAGAAATGAAGTTTGTATCTCTCTGTCTATTAGTTTTTTAGAACGCATGGTAGGCCTAACTTAGTTTTAATTAACAACGCTAACGGCAAACGTTCTAAAACAACTCTCACCGCCGGTAGGGATCGCAGGGCAGTAGCCTAAAATAGTATGCGATATTATTCACAGACCCGCTTCTTTGTTGAAGGCATAGCCTGGTGACCTATAACAACAGACGCCATTAAAATTTTCTCGTAACATGACAGCTTCGCCGTGGCAGCGGTAGCCGCGCTCATAATGTGTTTTCGTGTCCCGAGCCGGCGATACTTGAAACAATGCACTGTTGTAATAAAGTGACGTCATGAGTGCTTCCTCTCTGCTAGGCTACCGTAAACTCTCTGGTCAAGATAAGCGAGTTCAGCTGTAGGCTAGGTCAGAGGTCAGAGTCAGAGCTTCGTCAGGCGTTGAATTTTTTGTTTACGGTTCGGCCTTCGCTTCCCGACTTCTCTTCTTGATTAGTGACATGGCATCCATAAAAAAAAGAAGAAGAAAAAAAAAAAAAAAGAAATGGTTTCACTCTCCTTGAAGCGTCATATGAAAAACAAAGTTTCTTGTCATCTAATAAAATTCAGTGTCTTTAATTTAATACGTGGTTGGCCTGCCGCCTCCTAATGAGTAGCCTAAAAGCCTCCTAATGACCTAACAAAATGCGCTGTATGACACTGTATGTAAGTCAAGACTTCTACTTCTATTCTTTTATTTCTGAATGGGTTATCAATACTCTCAAAGTCCAATCATCATTTTATTTCACACTATCATTGTTTCCAAAGTAAACTCAATCTGAATAATCTACTAGCAAGGTTTCAGAACAAAATTGAATCGTAAGTTTATAGATCTAAATCTAGGTCAACTTCATATTTTATAGCGCCCCAGGTGTTCTTTTTCGAAATCATTGTTGACGTCGGACCCGACCGACCTATGACTTGCTTGTACTTGTACGTAGATTCTTTCTATAGCAGGCCATCCTTGTTCTATTCTATGTATTCTTCATGTCATATCATACGGGAAATGTGTTACCTATGCTGAAAAAAGCAGCACGATTAACATAAATTAGACTCTAGATCTAGATCTAGATCATCATTTTGCCTTTCAATTTCATCATTGTCCTCTTCATGCTTTCAGTTGGTCATGCAATGGTTGGTGGGTGCTCTGGAGTGGTTTGCTCGTTATTTATGTAATCAAACATCGAGATCTAGAGTCTATATTGTCCTTAACCTCTCTGTTCTTTTTTGTGTTTGTTTCTTTAGTATCACCTCTCTATTCTTTGGTACCTCCCGAGGCGGTGCCACTGACTGAAGTGTCTTTAGGCCATTCCCAAAGGAGGGGGTACATATATTCTCGTTCTCATGCACTGTAGATTCATGCACAGGCTGATTCATCAATGTCACGCTCATACTGTGCTTAATCTACAACAGGGAACTGCTGCTTTTTCTTTCCTAATCCTTACTACTATTGTCATTTTTCTTCGACTTCTTTTGTATGTTTGTCACACTCTGGTGACCCACTACGAAATCTTAGATTCTTTTAAAAAACTAAATAATAATTGTTCATACTTTGGTGAGCTTGCATACATGAAATGAAGGCCTACATGAAAAAGACGTTAAAAAACCCACTAATTCTCATGCTGAAAAGATAGTCTAGAAAGGATATATATATGTATATATATATTTATATATATCTTTTGTCTTCGCTTTCAGTTGGAAAGTATCCCTCATACTCGAACTTGCCATGTAAACTGGTGTTCAGGGGGAGAATTATGTTGAACATGCACATCTCATTTTCCACTTATCATTATTATTATATTATTAATCTCTCAGCCCGGGTTGGCCCCAACAGACAGTACAGGGTTAAAGCCTGCCTCTTGAATGATCTAGTCTAAGCATAACATAAAAACGCCAACGTTAAATAAAAGTCACTATAAAAGCCAGAAAAAAATGCACAGTAACCGTCTCATTATAACCCTCTTCCACTAGAACGACACAGAAAGTGTCATTTTTACATAAACCTTATTTAAATCACATTTCCAACCACTTCTTCACATCCATTTTTTTATCATTGGAATGTATGAAATAAAGTGAAATTGTGCATGATTAATCAACCCTCAGTACAACTATGCAGAGGCATTACTTTTGACAAATGTGTTTCGTCAAACTTCCTAACATGAGTGTCCATAATTCCACCTTTACTTTACTTTACTTTACTTTTACGATCCAGTTGCCATCTGAATTTTAACCCTTCGGTCTGACTGATGTAGTTCCACCTCCACTGACTGACAGTGTCGATGGTGATGTAAGTGTAAGCTTCACTGGAGATGAGAACTCAGTTTTTGGTGGTTCTGTTCTTTTGGCTCAAAATGAATGAACCCCAGGACCTGATTGTTTTTTCTTTAAAAAAAAAATTCCCTTCAACTTCATCCATCTTTTCTTGTTTTCAGAACGTTCAAGGAACTCTGTCCTGTAACTATTTTTTTTTCCAGATTAACTTAAGATGGTTTCTGATTTGGAGTCCAAGTCATGTCTGACTTATTTTGTCGTCAAGCTATGCAGACAAGGAGGCCTTTTCCCAAATGATCGCACCACTCTGTTAACAGAGGCAGATGAGCTCCAGATTTTACAGTTCTGCCTATCCAAACGTCAAGAAGAGGTAATGAATTTTTCACTTTTAAATCTAATTTGGAAAGGATGGAAATTCATAAAATGTTATGCTACTTTTTGAATGATTACCTATTTTTAAATGAAAATTTAACGAAAAGCCTGTGCTGTGCTTACATGATGCAGTTCTTAACATCTCTCCAGCAGAGTGTGTTGTATGATATTCTCGTCTACATTTTTTCTGGCTAAAGCCTATAGTTGGTGAATATTATATTCCTATCCTGTCTGAGGCGCCACAAATTTTCCAATTAAAATGTTAATGTACATAGACACGTGCACACTCTTAGCCACTGGAATGGCGCCTTTAATGAGACAGCAAAGGTTGCCAATACTTTCAAAGGGCTCATGTTAAAATGAAAGGGAGAAAAATATTCTTGCACTCACAATTAGAAAAACAGCTCTCTCGTTTGAGAATTTTGCTTTAACTTGTAAATAAGTCATGGAATGTGACTGTGAAATTACTTTTTGATCAGCATTCTTTTGTTCTTACTTTTGTATAATCCTGGTTTTCATTTTTTTTGCAAAAAAAGAGAAACAACTTGAAAAATTCAAAGGTGCAATGAAAATAACATATTTATGTTCTATTCCACAGGATGGCAGCACCCCCAAACCGCGTCAAAGAGAAGCAATAGATCTCCAGCAGAAAATGAATGAAGCTATATGCAGAGATATTGAAGAAAAGATACAAAAAGCTCTGAAGCTTAGAACCAAGGCACAGATTGATGGTCAGTGTAAAGAGCAGTCACTAGTTTCCGATGACACAATCCTGAAGTCAGTGGAACAGGATGGAAGAGAGCCTGACTTGAGAGAAGAGGCCTCTAAATCAGCACCTTTGCCAGAAACTGCTGCTGATTCAGATACTTCACCGACCTCAGACTCAAACAGATCACCTGGCTCAAGTCAAGACACCGGTGATTTTGATGAGATGGCAAAGATAAAGGAAACTGTCACAGCTTTTCAAAAGACCAGCAATCACATAAGTGTGATGGATATTTATAGAATATTTGTCTCTGAATTATGCAAGGAGGACACAGACCTTGGGAAAGAAATACAAAACAGAAAAGAAAATTTTGCAAAGCTAGTGCCTGATCTAGACCACCACTGTGCAATGCAAGTAAGAGATTTGTTAGTTTGAATATCTGACACTGAAATCAGAGAAAATTTCCCAGATAAAAAAATCTTCTCTTTGTACTGCTTAATTTCACCATTTAGTATGGCAGGCAAAAAAGTATGAAACTTGGGGGGGGGGATTTCATCATTTTACTTTTCTTTTACTTTCACGAACATTTCAGAGCTGACAGTTTTCCCCACTGTCTCATAAATGAACCCTGCAGCTTACTGCTATGTGATAGTGATGTGATGACCCATAAACCACATTGTTATATAAACATTGTATTTTCACTGATGTTCTGATGTGTTTGTGATCACTCATTTCTTTAGCTGTCACAAGAAGGATATTTCTGTTTTGCTTCATAGAAAGAGGTTATTCAGCTTCTTCACCTCATGGCTGACGTCAACAGTGAATGCACCCCATCCACTGAAGGGCTGTCATCAGAGAATTCAGTGTTGGATGTAACGGAACTCGAGGGAGCCCCCCCTCCATGCAGTGGTTCTTCAGATAATCTGGTGTTGCCTTCTTCACAAGAGTCGTCAGCTAGCTCCAGACCAGAGCCTCTGATGTCCCCCAAGACTCCAAGTTGCCAGGGGAGGAGGGCAGCTGAACTGCGGCAGTCAAGCAATGCCTCAACTCCATCCACTCCTTTCTCACAGACAGAAAGACTGGAGTTATGCAGGGTATTCTTAGACAATTCTATTTAAATCTGTCATTTTTAATGCTCCAGTTGGTTGGAAGAGCTATGCAACTGAACAGCAAATGAGAAGAATTTATGAAACATGATCATTTATGTGTATTGAAGACATTGAAAGGTATCTTCGGTGTTGCAGGTAGTTGTTGTGCCCATATTTTACAGCTGACACTGAATGTCGAACAATTTTGAAAGCTGCACAGATTGTTTGGGATGCTGATAAAATATAGTCTTGATAGTGAAATGCTGCAAAATCACAATTTAGAAATGTGAGCTTTTTCATATGCTTTTTTTTGTCTGGAGGGGTAAGCATAATTTCTTTTGATAAAATATGGGTAAAATAGCAATAATGCTCTTCTCTTTGCCAATCTAGATTTTACATCCAATCTCACCCTTCTGAATTTGAAATGCCTCCAAAAACATAAATGCCTCCACGAGTTTTGCTTATCGAACAAACATGTAGTTTCAATTGTAGTATTAGTATGTAATTTAATGACAAATATTATCTGACTTCCCCTAAAATGCTTTTCAACATTTTCCCTAGGTTTTTATCCATGATGTTTTGCGAAGTTACCTGCATTTACTGGTCAACTCTCGTAGTCAAGTGGCACTGGCTAGGGTTTTTAACATCCCTGACAGAGGACTTGACCACCAAGCTTTCACACACCTCAAACATGAAGCTGCTAAGACTGGATTGTCTATGTATCAGGTATACTCATATTTTAAATGTTTTTATCATGATTTCAAGCTCAAACCAACCAGCTTGGAGAACGTCTAATTAGCAGAAAAAGTTGTGTTACTGCTACTCGGATTCCTTCTACCAATGAAGACAGATAAAGTAAGGTTTGATCTCATATAAGAGATTTCAAACTGAGATTAGCCATTAACATCAGGTTTTTCTTGATGACAATAAGGGACAATGCTTGCTTCCATTTATTATACTTTTTCAAGGTGTTAAATTTTCTCAGGAATGTTGTTTGTATATTTAAATCTCAAGGCTAACGGAATTAAAACATAATAAGTATTGCTGGATTGTTTTTTAAAACCAAAAATGCTGATTCACTTTTCAGGTGCCAAAATCGGTTATTATGGATATGTACAATTTCAGACGTAAAAGAAACTTAAAGGTGAAACAGAAAAAAAACCCAGAAGACAAAAATGAATTGTAGGTCTAAATGAAATGCTAAAGGAACTTTATTTAATATGTTGCAAATATCTGATTGACAACAATGCACCACACCTCACCCCTCCTCCGTTTTTATCGGACTTACATGTTGTGTAGGAGGTGTCTTCCTTCATGCTCCGCCTCCGACTTGGTGGGAAGGGCTATGCCCCGCCCACTGACAACCCTCTGATGGCTCATGTGAAAGGCTTGGGAGCCCTGCTGGAGTTCACACAAAAGTTACAAACAACAGTGGAGGAGGACCCTAGCCCTGGGTGAGTTGTTGTTTTGTTCTATGTCGTTGAGTTGTGGTGTAAAACTTTCACCAGAGACCCCACCAATATAACAGACCTTTGCTTTATATGGGCACAGGACCTGAAGTGGTAAGGAAAATTAGCATAATATTAGTTTAGTGACCACATTGCATCAGGAGAAGATTGGAGTAGTGTCTATATTAAAAAGAAGTTAAAAGATTCGAACATTCAACAGCACCCATCCAACTTCCATCCAACAGCGAGTAAGTGGAGTTCCTTTTTTTTTTTTTAGGAAATCAAATTTAAACATCATCTTTATGTTTTCATACTCTTCTGATTTTGTTTCTTGTCACAGGATTCTTTATTCATTCATCATTATTTTTTTTGTTAGTATTTTACATTGTGGGCTGTTACTATTTTGCTAAAAACAATATGAGATCAATTACATTTTAAGTTTAAAGGAAGAGAGGACATCATGTTTTCAAACCAGGGCTTAGTAACAGAAATTATCATAATCCCGTCCAGATGATTTAAAACTTGATAAAAAGTGTGCTGCTACTTTTTCTTTTGGTATTAATATGTCAGTAAATGTAAAGGATTGCATCAGACTAGGTTTTGAGATAGTGGAATGTTGCTGAAAACTAGAAAAGGATTTTGGACAGTATGTGAAATGAAAGTGTTTTACTTCGAATGTGTATGTGCCGATTGGCAAGACTAATAAAGTCTAATTTATAATGTTTCTTATTTAATGAGACAAAAAATTTCTAACTTCAGTATTGTACGCAAAGGTATTTAGGTATCAGAATTTAGTTATAAAAGGTTCGTCTGCTTTTTCTTCAGATCAGCCTGTCGTCGAGTGGTGAACATCATCAAGAACAATTTGGTGTTGTGTAAAAGTGGACGGTTTCCTCGCACAGCTGTGGAGCCAGTGGCACAGGAAGTACACCAGTCCCTGGCAGCCCTGGTAGAGGAAGCCAAGTCTAGTGTGTCTGGCAGCCCGGACAGGGTTCGTACTTCTCTTCCCCCCCCCAAGATCTCTCTTTTTATGTTAAACTTTCTTGACACTCTTGATAAATCTTGCTGGTTGTCATAATAGGTATACAAGTACTTCAGGTTTTACTTAATTAACGAATAGGGGATGGAAGCTCATTGGTGTAGAGGCAACACGCTTTCCTGTCGTTCGTGCCAAAGTATCTTGTTAAATCTCAGGTTTGAGCAGATGTGATATGGATGGATTACTTTGGGCTTTTTTCTCAGATTTTCAAATACTTGATCCTGTTGAAGGTGGAAAACCTATCCTTGTTGTAGCACTGGCATCATTTAGCACACCGGAAAAGTTTGATGTATAAAAACATATATAATAAGAGAAATAATTTTTGTATACTTTTTGATAATGGAAAAAAAGTGCAAAATATATTTATTTTCTACACCAAGATTTCCCCATTTTTTTAAGGTTCAATTTAGCTGCTTGATTTTCCAAAGCCATATAAAGGCAGCTGTGAAAGTTCTCATTGTACTGTCTGTTGAGTGTTATGATAATGTCTGTCTACTTGTGGTATCCACAGTCTGTCAGCAGTGGGGGAAGTGTTCTTGGCAGGCGCTGTCTCAACATCATCCGCTCTTATCTGGACACCTCAGCTCTGACTTCCTCGCGTCTGTCCGGGCAGCTCATGAGGGACGTCCGATTCTCTTCACAGACACCGACCCGGTTTCCTTGTCTCTTGACCCAGTTTAGGTTAGGTTCAGGACTTAAATTTTCATATATTTGCTTGGAAAGGATTGCTCCTTATTTGTGTCTGTATATTTAATTATGATAATGAATTATTTTCATTATTATAACTGAATAACCTTGATTCGTTGAACAAGTACGTTATAAGTTCTTTGAGTGCAGCTGATTAGGCTTACTTGACTAATATTGAATCCTACAGAGGCATGTCTAGTGTTTTACAGAATTCACGCATGTTGCGCATCATAGGCCTAGGTCTAACTAAACATTACGTTCAGTCACCCAAACACCAGTCAGAAACCTTCTCTCAAAGATGCATTTCCAGTGACCAATCAAAAAACATTTCAGTTCCCCAAACCCCCAACATTTCACTGACCAGTCCTAGATCTATGTGTCTGTGGAAAGTTGGGTGTGAAAACGCTGTCCATCACTCTCTTTGTTCGGCGTGAGGGGCAGTCTCACCAAATATCCGGTTTGGTAGGCTTGTCTTATACAAGCTGTGCAGGTTGTAATGAAAATTTTCCCTTGTCAAGCTTAACCTGTCAGCGTGTTTCGTGGATAAGAGGGAGTGACCGTATGTTTGTACATCTAAATTATACAGTAAAAAAAAGTCAGTTGACGAAAGAGTACATTTGAGCTGAGCGAGCATTTGTCTGGCGTGCGTTTAGGCGGAGACTACTGTATCTGAATGAAAGTGGTATGAGATTAACAGGCAGCAAACTGTATGTCCCCTGGATGATTAAAGTGGTAATTTTGAATAAACAACCCAGACGTGAGAGTTATTGTGAAGTTGGGCATCGTTACGGGGGATACTCAACTATAAATAGGCACTTGAACATTTGCTTTGACTTCCCCTCTATGACATACCACTTGTCCAACAAGCAGTTAAAAGCTCTCATGAAGATGCAAGCTTGGTTAATAATAATAATAATAATAATAATAAATAGGATTTGCATGGCGCATACCCCAGCTCGGCGGTAAGCTCTATGCGTTTTACACAATACTATTAGACAGTAAGAAAAATGTTTTTGTCTACTACATACACGTACTTGTGTGGAAAGGATAAAATGATGTTGCATTACTTTTCAGATCACCTTGCCTACTGGAAGAGGAAGATGAGACCGCTGAGCAAGAGAAGGAGATACAGGAGACTGATGGCAAGGGGAAATCAAAGATCAGTGACAGCAATGTCCAGTTTGTGAGTAGGACTATGAGGCTTTGACCATAGTGTTGTCTCTTAGATGATTTAACTTTTTATGTGGTCAGTTTACTGGAAATAATTGAATTATGGAAACCCGTTTTGTATTATTATTGTGGTGACAGGGACTCTGTTACAACTGAAAAGTGCCCAATGTTTTGTTTCTTCAAGAAGACCTTCTTCTGAGGACTAATAATATGTTTTGCTAAAAAGTGATGCATTTAAACAGTACCGGTAGTTTGTCTTCCATAGTTGCTGCTTGCGTTTTCTACGTAGCGGAGGAAAAGATAGTCGAATATTTCCTTACAATTTGATCAATTCTGTTACTTGTGAATGTTTATATACTGTATGTATATATTGTCATCAGTAGAGTTCCATGTGTTGGACTGTTTGAACACTTTTACAACATAAGGCGACATTCATTTTTCCGCTTTTGAGAAAAATTAAGATTTCTCCTTCATTAATATAACTGAATAATCTTGAGCAACTTTGGTGTTAGGATAAACATGATGTAAGGCTTAGTTGATATTCACTAACTGATGGAATCTTTGTTGGATTCTTATCCATTAAATCGATAACATCTCACATTTTTGACAAAACGTAATATATCCACTATACTACTATAAGGAAGGGAAAGAACCACCAACAAACTTTCATTGACCACAATTGAAGTCATGTGACTCAAGGAAAGAACTTGATTGGTGCGCAGAGGATATGTCACGGTTTGTCAAAAAAGGCCTACCGTTTTTGTCGCCTTTTGTATAAAAAAAGGCGTAACTTTTTGCATTTCTTTTTAGAGGAAAGATCACGTTTTGTGAAAAAAAAGTTGACTCTGGAATGTGTCTCACCTTTCTAGATACGACGGTACTAGTTTTGACAAAACTTCAAGACTGACGTTTGTCGTGTTTTGTTGCGAAACAGTTCATTTGTGCATTTTGTTCATTCACCAGGTTTCTTCAGCTCTCTATGTAGATGCAGGGTCAGACCTTGGTCTCCTCATGTCCCAGAGAACTATGAGCTCTGTTGAGGTCCTGCCAAGGTGAGTGTGACGTGTTTGTCTTGTTCCATTTCTTGAACTTATGTCCCATCATGTCACCAAGCTGAGGGTTATGGCTGTAGGTCCAGTACACAGTGTACGCTACCAATCGGATTCAATAAAACCAAGTCAGGGCCAGCCAGATTTTTATTCCATGAAGGGGCAAAAGCCTAGGTCTAGAGAAATTATCAGTGCGAAGATTCTAAGGCACGGGAACGCAAGAAGGGCCACGATGAAAGAAATGTGTGCTAAAACTACTAAAATCTAGAATAATTCGAAGTGGTGTTCCGTGGTTGTGACATGCGACTTTCAAACGTGAAAATTGAGGAAAATTAGGGTATACGCTGGGTAACTGTATTGTGAAGGTAAATATCTATTCATTATTCCCAGGTTTGCCTTCTATCAGTGGTGCGATGACAAATTAATTGAGTTATAGTAGCAATCGATGGGGAACCTGCTTTTATACATTGCCAGCAATGGAAAGATATGTAGGTGAAGAAATAAAACAAGACAAAATCTTTGTGAAAAAAGAGGTACTATGGGTCGTTGGCAATCTTTTCAAACAGGCTCCCAAATGCCATTTTCAACCCTCTAAAAGCACTAAGTTTCAATTTCTTCGGGGGCTTCACCCCATGAACCCCCACCGGGACGCTGTCCCCCAGACCCCCTGCAGAATTTTCCTTACTTTTTAGCTTCAGCTGGTGGAAGCACTGATATGACAAAATGTTGAAGAGCAGCTGGTTTCCATTTACAATGGCGGGTCATTACACATCAACCTCTAAGCCAGAGAGGACACATCCAGTATGCCAGGTTTAAGTGGAAAAGGTATATAAATTTATTGAGATTTTCTTTCGCCAGACTTTCAGTGTCTTTGATAATGGTAAAGTAATGCAACTTTTTCTCAATAAAACTTTAGAACCAACGCTTGTGGCATAGCAAAATAATCTGTTCCGCTTTCTTTGTCCAGTAAAACGATTGTGCAGCCGAGGGAAGGCAGTGATTTTGACGTAGGAATGGAAAAGAGCAAACGGGGGCCTAACAAAGCGGCAGCACTGCAGACAGTTGATGTCAAGGATCGGGTTGGCAAAGGGCAGGAGAGGAAGGGGAAGAGATGCCCTGAAACACGCTCAGAGAAGGAAAACATAACAAAGGAAAAGTCTGGTGTGGGCCCCAGCAAGCCCAAGCAGCAGCGAGGTGGGAGGAAAGCTCAGGCAAGTGTTGGAGAATTGATGGACTCACCAAAGTCTTCAAAGAAAAACAACCAAATAGGTGCGGGCAAGAAGAAAGTGGATAAATCCTGCAGACGTCGGCTTTTGCCTCAGGTGAAAGGCCAGGCTAAAATTACTGGCTTTTTCAGAACATGATTCAAGCTGCAGACATGAAATATTGATCATCATTATTATCAGCTTTTCTCAGCTCACCCTGTGGTGGAGTATAAACTACCAACAAGAGCTCTCCATGTACTTCTGTCTTGGGCTATTGTCTCCACCTCTATCCAGCTGTATCCCATCTCCTTTCGGTCAGAATCTAAATCCATCCTCCAAGTACTTTAAGGCCTTTTTTGCTTTCTCTTTCCTTGTGAATTCCATCTTGAACTTAAGGCTTGGTAGGTAATGTTTGTTTTCAGCTTTTCAGGGTGTGTCCAATCTAGTCCCATTTTTTGTTTCTGATTTTTATGTCTATTTTCTGTTGGTTTGTTCACTTCCGTAGTTGTTCATTTCATATGGTTTCAGGCAAATGAATTTTTAGTATTTTAAAAAAGGGGGCTCTTGTGGCCTAGAGGTTAAGGTGTTGGCCTCTCATTCAAAGGTCTCAGGTTCGAATCCGGGTAGCGACAGAAAAATTTTCTGCTCTAAAATTGTCTCCTTTCACTTCCTTTCATGCTCTCTAGCGATGTTCTGTCATCTGCTTTCGTCTCCACTTTCTGCCCCCACCCCTTCATCTCCTTTGCCCCCTCCTCTGGGCTCCTGACCCTTTCTGCAGCCTTTCTACTGCTAATCCTTGGCCCTTCTTACTGCTGTCTTTCAGACACACCCCTTATCTTATGGTAGGAAAGATCTACACCTAGCCTTCTCGGACAAGGGCGGAAAATCTCGGAGGTCCTGTGTGCAAGTTGCGCACGTTAAAGATCCCTTTGTGATCTAAAATTGATAAGAGATGGATTCGGCTGCCACCCGGGCAAAATTCAAAATTTCCTACCAACTGAAAATTTAATGCGTCCCGCGGGCTCATACGACCTTATCCAGTTGCGAGCGCCATAACACACTTACCAAAAAAAAAAAAAAAACTTAAAAAAAAAAAATGGTGGCTGTCTTTATTTTTGTTTGTACTGGAAATTCTACTATTCAGGATGAAATTAAATGTTTCAGACCCATGGTCCCATACATATAATAGTTTATCCTCCCCTTTATCAATATGTCTTTAGCAACAACATAACTGTTGGTTAGGCTACAATCCAGTGAATTTCAAAAATGAGAAATGGTACAAAATCTAGGCGTCCCCTTAAGTACTGCCTTTTCAGAGAGCGTGATATCTTTGTGCAGTTAGTCTGATGTGCAACACGCCTCTTCTGACCATAGTCTATATTGTCAGTGCCTGTCTCATAGAAGGCTTATGTGGAGCTTTTTTTTCCCCTAGTTGTTTAGTTAGTTTAGTAAGAGTTTTTAACAGCGCTCGTAACTGCTTAAAGTCGTATGAGCGTGCGAAGCACGAGTTGGTTGCTTTCACAACACTTCACAGCACAGCTTGGCTTTGGTCAATGATCAGATTTAACCCTATCCGTACGCCCTGGGGTCATTTTGTACCCCCGAGGTTGTATTCTTCACATTTTAGAATACTTCTAGTACGAAGATCTCTTTGAAACTTTCAGTATTTTTCAAAATATCATTTTGACAGACTACTTGGCAAAGTGTATGGATCAGATTAACGAGTAAATTTCCTCTTTGGAAAATGGTGGCACACAGAGTTTCCCTCGTCGTATTGATACGATAGTAAAACACGACGTACGGATAGGGTTAAAGGTTAAAAAAAAAATGTTCAGTAAAAATTGTCAATCTTTGAATTTTGAAAACAAACAATTTACACTTTATACTGAAATAACAGGATTTATTGATCAACAGTTAGACGTTATGCCATGTTTTGCGCGCATTGAACATACTTGCAATTTAGAATCTTTTGTGGTCCTCTTCACCTTTTGAAAATTTAATGAGGCAACCGTAGCTGGAATATGACTGAGTACGCCTTTTTGAAAGTGCTTTCCTTGTGTGGGTCTGAAGCTGTTCCCACATACATTACAGATGCCTGCTAATTAAAGGTCATAGTGTGAGCCATAGTGGCAAATATTTCTACTGGAAACTTGTACTGGTTACAAAAACTCCATTTGTTGTGTGTCCCCTGTTAGTGTTAGTTGTTTGAAACTTAATGTAAAACTGATTGATTTTTTTCTGTTTGTATGTTAAGGTGTTGAAGTTGTGAGATGTGTTGATCGTCAATGTTTTACACTCCCATTGACATTATTTTATATTTCTAGGAGGCAGGCTGCTTGAACCATGCACTTTATCATATTTAGTCAACTTCATATATTTTTCCCAACTGGGATTCGAACCCATGTCTTTGACTTGTATGGTATAGTGCCTTACCATTGTGCCATCAGTACTGATAGGCTGCATCTGTTCATGAATATATGATGTTAGTATGGGTGCTACCTTGTGGTCAGCGACTGGAAGATGTTGATGCTTATTCAGGTATTTTATGATGTTAATCAGATCAGAAATTTTTCTTTCTGCTTTGCAGTTTAAAGATGATGTTTTTAACCTTGTCATTTATCTCTTACTTTCAAAAGCGTCATATGATTGGTTTTATCACACGTAACAGATGATGGCTGCTGCAAGAAAAAATAGTGGGTAGCTTCTGTTGACCTTTTGCAATAAGTCGTGTTTTCTTGCACTGCTGTACATTAATCGGTGTTGTTTTCCTGCAAATTGTATGGCTAATGAAGTTTGCTTTATACCAGAACTGACATATGTCAGATGTGTATAGCTATGTGAAATACTTTTAGAGTGTGTTGGTTTAGATTATTTATATTTGTTTTAAGTATATGTAATGAATTTTAATTACTTTCGGTGCAATAAATGAGTTTTCTTGATCTTTTCATGATCCCCCCCCCCAAAGATTATGGCATCTGTCCATTGTCCTGCCATTGCTTTTGTACATTTGTTCTTTTAAGTGCATTATCAATAAATAATTTTGGAGGATGCCACTGGCAGGTCTAACTTCTTTACTATCTCTTTGTTCCTATCTGTCTGTCTATTACTTTTCCCCCAGCATTAAATGACCATTATTGTGTGTCCATGTGCCTCTCTTTACCCCAACAAATTTATCAATAATTGTTTGTGGAGGCAAATGGATTTCTTAATTTTTGTCATTTCGACTTGAATGTTGATACAGTGATTTAGCTTCAGACAAGTAATTTGGTACCATATAATATATTTATTGAGTGATTGAACAGGAGATAACTTATGTGGTGGAGGAAGTAAATTTTGAATTGTGATTTACTCCATCATGACCCGGTTTTTAATTTATTTGATTGAAAATTGATTTTAAATTATTGATATCTGTAGTGCGTCTTATATATAATATACATGTATTGAATAACAGCCCGTTCCTCAATAAATTGTCTGCTGGTGTTGATTTGTGCCCCCGTCTTTCCTCTAAGAATTCTATGAATAAAAACCAGTAATGCATTTTTAAACCAAAAGGTTTTGGAAGTTTGAATTTGTGTTGAGTTGTACATCATATTTTAGACCAATATTATGGAAAGGGCTGAAATTGAAGATATTAACACGGCCATAAAAAGAAGATGGTGATTATATTTAAGACATAGTTTGAGAATACTGAAGACAAGATTGCTTATCAGACATAGTACAAATGTACTGTATTGGAGACCAGCTGGAAAAAAAAGGTTGACCAACTGGAAGCTACAGAGTCACTATCATCAAGGATGAGGTGATCACCTAGGGCCTAGGTGTGCCAAGATTGGAGGAGGTGGCCAGGGACAGGCAAGTGTTTTCTTCCTTTACTTGACTGTGTAGAGGGAGAGTAAGTAATATGGAGGGAGAAGGAAGGCATTAAAATCAAAATTGGTTAAAAAAATGTATCTGCAATCTCCTTGGGCTTGAGGAAAAAGACCTTGGTATCATGTAGATGGGCTTGCTGGTAACTGGTTTTTCAAATTGAGACGAGGGAGGGGTGTGGTAATCTGCAACCAACACCAACATCCCCTTTTTGAAGTTTTTCAACACACAGAGAGAGAGAAAGAGAGCGAAATACGCACACATGGACAGATTTTCAGGTCCCGAATTTTCTATACATTACAATCATGTAGTACAGGTGCCAACAGTGGGTGCAAGTGAAGTTCCCTGAATTGTGAGACTATTGCAGTCGCCGTCGTTTTATGCTAGAACAATTCTGAAATTATGCAAACGGAGCCCCAAAATGTGAAATAATGCTATTCTGTTTAAAATTTTAACAAAGAATGGTAAAGGAAAATAATCAGAAATTATGCAAAAAAGATCAAATTTTGCTAAATTATGCGGGGTGCATAAAACCACAGGGACAGCTATGGTTACATCTTGTTGTGGAGGGTTGACTTATTATATTGAGGATGTGGCTTCTGAGACGCGCTGTTTGGGGGTACTTTAAAAATTAAGCCTAACTTGACTATTCATATAGATTTCTTATTTCTGTTTTATTTAAATCAAACGAAAATCAGCAACACCATGCATACCATGCAATATGAAAATTCGTGTTTCTGATTTGTGCATGATGGTTCGCCAAGTGCTACAACGTTTTGTTTGGTTTCTGATGTGTCCGTTACGTTCTTAAAGTTTAAAGTTAAAGTCACTGTGTAGCCATGTTGTTAAGTCCCCTGAACGGCAGGGGAAATGCCAATTTTTGGTCTAATCCCAAGTACATGTAGCCTGTGTAGGCCTACAACACTGACCGAAGCTGCTCCGTAGGCCTAGAATCTAACCCCAGCGCGGCCGTGTTCCCTGAGTGCGGCAATACTAAAAGTAAAAGCGTGGGATGGACGCGGCTGCTTATATTTTGCCACGTTATCGTCACTTACAAACAAACAAACACAAAAAGAATATTTTTATCTTTTTCTCGGGTCCCAGCGCCTCTTCTTTGCAGTTATTGTTCCCAACGGTTATAAGTTGAACTTCTGATGAGTTGATCTATTTTTCACTCCCCCAACGACATCAACTCGTCTACAATCGACTGTAGTAGGCCTACTAGTAGTAGTAGTATAGGTCTACTTAATTTAAAACAAATTATTTCTTCTGTGCTTGGATGATCATTTAGTAAGGAGACGAGCTACCTCAATTCTGTCCACTGCGAGTTGGTTCATGTTAATATTAACAGAACTTACTATGTACATGTAGAGGCCTTTGTATGGTAGTTCAAGTTGAAAGATGGATTTTAGCTCCTTTAAAATGGCAGCTTGCACTGTATGCTTCCAAGGCCGTTGAGATTGTTTCAGAAGGTTACATGTATCATGTTTGCTGGGGGAGTAATATATATAATATAGAGATTGGAAAGCGCATAGAGCCTGCTTTTGAGCAGGAATTAGCGCTATACAAATAGCCTAAAATCTACATGTGTACGTAGCCTATATATTATCATCATCAAGTTCCAGACCTGCGACAGACATCAGCGATCATGGTTAATTAAGTTTTCCATCCATTCCTTTGCTAGGATGCTCTTAAAAAACTACATTACCTTGATCTTTCCCCGTTACCCTCTATTATTACACACACATTATTATATACTTACTTTAGCATTTAACTCAGTCGAGAGTCGAACTCGAGTCTTTTGTGAGCAAAGTGAATCTCTCAACCAGTACTACACCACAGACGCCGGTGAATAATTATTAGTTTTCCCCTCGTGCCGAACAATGGAACTGAAGTTGAAGGTTGCCTTATTGTTTTCATGAGAATTTAATTTTTTTTTACTGATCTCTCCACCCTCGACATTATTATAATTATATAAATATTATGGCCTTGA